GAACTTTATAGTTTTAGGCTTTATATTCAGGTCTTTGATTACTTTGTTTACTTTTGTGAATTGTCTGCCTTGTGGATTTTGAAGCTGTTGAATTATCACAGTGCTCTCTTGCTGCATAGTTGAACTGTCCTGCATTTGAAAACATTTGGAAGGATTGTTGTTGCGTGCTGTCAATTCTGACTCATAACAACTCTGTAGGACAGAGTAGAACTGCTCCATAGGGTTTCCTAGGCCATAATCTTTATGGGAGCAGATCGCCAAGTCTTCTCTCCCGAAGAGCTGCTAGGTGGTTTCGAACCGCCGACCTTTTGGTTAGCAGCTGAGTGCTTAACCAGTGTGATATCAGGGATCCTATTAAAGGGTTAGTTCTCAAATTTAGAGGTTCATGTTTTCATATGAAGCAAGTTACCCCTATGTAGAAATCTAAATTTTAAACACTCGGCCCAAGATCCCAGGTTTCTCTTAAACTTCCATGCACTGGAGTAAAATGTACATAAAGAAACAGCAGAAGCTGTTAACTTAGATGAAGTGCTGTGTTCGCTTTAAAAGCCCTGTGAATGCCTGCTTCCCAGCTGTGCTCATTCGAGTGCCTTCGGCCTGACGTGCTCTGCTGAGTGGCACGGAGTGGGCATAGGTCCTGGGTAGTGAAATCTCGGGCCCTGGACCAGTCCACATGGGAAGGCAGCACACCAGGTCTCCACAGTGGAGGAGACATAAGGCAGCATTTCAGTCCACGTGACTTCATGACTTTACACTTGCTCAACAAGACAGGAGAAATAAAAGTAATTCTAAGGGCCAGTCTGTCTTCATTCCAGTTTAACTAATCAAGGAGAGATAGGTACAAATTACCCATGAAAATGTGTTAGTGTCATTTTGGAGAGGAAAAAAAGGCTGCAAGTGGCCACAGTTTTCATACAGAATCTTGAAGCAGAGCTGGTGGATGAGCAGCTCTCTCTCAGGAAAGACTTGGGGCTGGCATGCCTTCCTCCCCTAGGCTCACTTCTTGAGAATGTTCTGGAATTCTGTGCATTTTAACTGGGTTAAAGCATTTTTACCTCAGGGCTTTTCAAACTTTTTTTCTCATCTACAGGAAGAAGTACGTTTCACATTACAATCCGGGACATACTCACATATATAACTGAAGAAATAGTACTTACCCTGTGTCTGATGTAGTCTAAGATTTTCTCTTTTATTCCCTTAAAAAAAAAAAAAAGTCCATTAAATTAATTTTATGATTCACTAGTGGGTTTTGGGAATCCCAGAGTGGCTCAAACGGTTAAGCACTCACCTGCTAATCGAAAGGTTGCAGGTTTGAATCTATACAGAGGCACCTTGGAAGAAAGGGCCTGGCTATCTACTTCTGGAAGACCATAGACATTGAAAAGCCCATGGAGCGCAGTTCTACTCTGACACACGTGGGGTTGCTGTGAGTAAAAATCAACTCGATGGCAACTGGTGTTTTTGTTTCTTTGTTTTTAAAGTGAGTTTTGAATTATAGTAGGAAAAATTCTGCTTTAGATTTAACATAGCAGCTAATCTTTTCTAATTTACTCATCACAACCTGTTGAGGAAAATCAGTCCACTGTTTTGAAAGAAAAGAGGGATTTCAGGAAGAGAGGAAAGGTGAGGTGTATCTGTTCTGTCCAATAGGGCCTGTTATGGTGACAGGAAGCCATTCCAGGGCACTCACTGAATGTCATAGAGTGAAGGAGGAGAAACGAGGGCTAGACTGTGGGAGAGGGGCGGGGAAGGAGCAGGACAGGGGAGTGGAAGCTTTGCTAGCTGAGACTTAGACGTCTTGGAACCAGTCTTTGAATGCGTTATGTTCAGCTTCCCATCCAGTACAAAAATGCGGAAGATGTTCGTGTCTGCGGTAATATGTTATTTCTACCTGAATGGCACAGGAATTCTCTAAAAAGTGTATCCCATTTCAGGATGAAACTTTCAACTATTTTTTGTTATGTTTTGTGTTGCTGGTACTTTGGCATTTTTTTAGGAGAAAAGGAGAAACATCAGTGTTAGTAATTTGCAGTTTTTGGTAATTTCACACTGCACAATGCAGCGGTCAAAATTTTTTTTTTCTGATGGCAATTATAGCTTGTAATCAGTCGATTTTTTGCCCTTTGTGTTAAATTACATCAAAACCCTAATTATCTGTCATTACAAATACTAATCATTTAACCAGTTAAAAATAACTAGTTAGTATTTCATTGTACGTCTGCTGCGTGAGTGCCCACTAAGTGCTTCCCTGTATTTTCACAGGCCTGGGTAAAACGAAAAGGAAGACCAGTGCGCGAGATGCCTCCCCGACGCCCAGCATGGATGCGGAGTACCCGGCCAACGGGAGCAGCACCGACCGCATCTACGACCTCAACATCCCAGCCTACGTGAAGTTTGCGTATCTGGCCGAGAGGGAGGACGAGCTGTCCCTGGTGAAAGGGTCCCGGGTCATCGTCATGGAGAAGTGCAGTGACGGTTGGTGGCGAGGAAGCTACAACGGGCAGATCGGTTGGTTTCCTTCCAACTATGTCATGGAGGAGGTGGACGAAGCGAGCGCGGATTCCCCAAGCTTTCGGAGCTTGCGGAAGGGCGCCTCCATGAGCAACGGCCAGGGCGCGCGAGCCCTCCACGTGGTTCAGACGCTGTACCCGTTCAGCTCCGTCACCGAAGAGGAGCTCAATTTTGAGAAGGGAGAAACGATGGAAGTGATTGAGAAACCCGAAAATGACCCAGAATGGTGGAAATGTAAAAATTCCCGGGGGCAGATTGGCCTTGTTCCCAAAAACTATGTGGTGGTCCTCAGTGACGGGCCCGCCCTGCAGCCTTCCCACGCCCCTCAGATAAGCTACACCGGACCTTCGGCCACTGGACGGTTCGCTGGCAGAGAGTGGTACTATGGGAGCGTCACGCGGCACCAGGCGGAGTGCGCCCTGAACGAGCGGGGCGTGGAAGGGGACTTCCTCATTAGAGACAGTGAATCTTCGGTAAGTGCCTGCCAGTCTCTGAATTTTTTTTGCCCAGCTCCTTGGTGGTCTCGAGAGAAAACAGTAAAAATAAACGTGTGTGTATGTATACGTGTGTATATATATGTGGATTCTCCGGGTGGTGCAAAAGGCTAATGCTCTCAGCTGCTAACTGAAAGGTTGGAGGTTCAAGTCCACCCAGAAGTGCCTCAAAAGAAAGCTCTGGAGATCTATTTCCAAAAAATCAGCCATTGGAAACCCGGGGGAGTGCAGTTCTACTCTGATTCACATGAGGTCCCCAGTGAGTCTGAGTTGACATAACAGCAACTGGCTTTTTTGGCTTTATTTATACACGTACACACACACACACCTATAATACATTGTACAATATGATATTATTATACCATTTCCTTTTCAGATTATATGAATATACTTGAAATAGCCAAAGACTATTTAGGGACTTGTGTGAAGATAGATGAGTAAGATTTAGTATGAACTCTGTAATTTGTTTACATCTGTTTAATATGGTGACTCACTTGCTGAGTTAACCACTTATTCTTCCAGAGATGCATGCATGGAGATGGGAGGGTAAATAAAATATTTTTAGTTCATAAGGGTTGTTTTGCCCCTCTCTCTTTTTTTTTTTTACAATTTCCCCGTGCTCTTTTCCATTCTACAGACTCAAGTATCATTTTCCTTCCCTGTTTCCCGTTCTGTTAATGATCCCTGCCGAGGCCCTAGTGATCCACTTGGTTTCCTCTGTGTCTGAGGCACAGAGAGTATTGTCAGTGAGGGTGGGTGCCTGGTTTCCAATACAGCCTTTTGTTGACTGGTTTTTCAATCATATAATCCCAAGGTCATCTCTGCTGCAGGCGGCACTACTGAGTTCACGTCTGAAAAGCTTTTAAAACTTACGAACTGAATTGAAAAGAAAAACACACTTCTTGAGAGAGATGAGTTTGTGTGTGTAAACTGAATCGAGGCATTGAGGCCACTTGACTTGCAGCAACATGTCCATTTCCAGCTGTAGTCAGACTTGGGGTTTGCGTTTAGTGTGTGTGGCTGAGCCTGTCTTGAAGAATTGGACCAGCATCACATAAGACCGCTTTTTCATACGTGTGTTATGGAGATACTCGGCCAGTTTTGTAGCTCCCTTTCCAAATATACCATCTATGTAGTGAGACCCCAAAACAAGAGTGTTGAAGATAGAGAGCAGTGTGTTTTGTATTTGTTGTTATCCGTAAGGTTTGCAGTGGGCTCAGACACACCAGCAGTTGTGAGGATAGCACAGGAAAGCACAGTGTTTCCTTGTGTTATCCGTGAGGTCGCCATGATCGGGGACCTGACTCCATGGCAACTAACAACAACGATTTTCTGTTTAAATTGTGTTGATTCCAGTGGGCTTCAGTTTATTTTTTAAAATGCAAAGCATAATGCTGGTTAAGTATATGCTATGTACTTGTAATTGTGTACTCTGAATGTTGATACCATGATAAGTATCAGTTCAAGACTCCTGTTGACCGAGTTGAATTCAAGGCTACAGAAATGTGTTTCACCTTCAAAGGAAGAGTCAGCTGTGATCTTTTCTTCTTTGAGGCAGAAGGAGCATCCTGGTGGTGGAAACAGGACCTCCTCATGATGTCAGCAGCTTTGCAGAGTCTGCCACAACCTTAGACTTTGCCTGGGCAAGCACACTGTGCCTGAAAGTTAACTACATCTGAAATCTGAACTCCGAGATTTTCTTATCAGCCCGCCACAGTTTATCATTTCTGGCAAGACATCACATTAAATTGTTCTCACGCCGTGTAAGCGCCGGGTATAGCTTCCCTTAGACCCAGTTTGAGGCTTCAAAGAATTAAGTACAGCAGCACTTTTAACTGTATCCAGCAGAAATGTAGAGAACGTACTGCAAACCAGCTACAATATAAAGGGAGAGGTCCAGAATGCTTAAGGAGTGAGTACAATTCAGGATCAAAAGGATAAGCTTGATTTAAAACTTTCGAGTTGAAGAGAATTCTTTGTAGAGAGAGGGCCTAAAGAAGCCCCACGGTGTGGAGATGTTAGTGCTGTTCATTGTTCTTTCTGTATGGGACTTGGTGGGGGAGAAGAGGAAAGTCCTTGGAAGGAGGATGGATGAGAAAAGACTCCTCCAGGGCTGTCTGCCATAGGGAAGATGTAATGCTTCTCTATTGGACCAGCACTTACAGTGGTCTTTCCTGTCTGAACCTGAGGACCAGATCTCGTGAGGGGTACTTGCATTATCTGGGTTCCATCTCAGAACTGGGTATACTCTAATGTCTCTTGGCAGGGTCAATGGTAGTTCAGTAGTAGAATTCTCACTTTCTGTGCGGGAGACCCGGCTTCCATCTCTGGCCAGTGCACTTCATGCATGGCCACTACTCGTCTCTCATTTGGGGCTTGCCTGTTGCTATGATGCTGAACAGGTTTCAGCAGAGCTTACAGACTGAGACAAACTAGGAGGAAAGACCTGGCAATCTACTTCCAAAGTATCAGCCAGTGAAAACCCTATGGATCACAGTGGTCCCGTCCCTAACGGATCATGGGGCTGGTGCAGGATTGGGCGGCATTTTATTCCTTTGTGCATGGGGTCGCCATGAGCCGGGGGCCGACTTGATAGCTGCTAACGATGTCTTGTTTACCTCACATGATTGGATAATAAACTAACTTTTTAGAAACAATTGAAACATAAATTGCTTAAATTCTATTTTAACCGTTTGTACGAAAGCCTGTCCAGATTTTTTGCATTCTGCCTGAATTTAGAAAAACCGAGCACTCCCTCAGTAGGTTGTTGTCGTGCTGTTTTTATAGTGTGTTTGTAATTGCCGTGGCCCTTTGATTTCAGGGCCATGGGGGTGGAAGGTGAGAAATAGTCTTGACAGTAATTTGCCGGGCCTTGTGTCAACATGCACACGGTGGGCCTCTCTTGGTCTGAAGACTGTCGTGTGGCCTGAAGATGTGTAGGTTCTTCTTTCGGAGGGATCTTGCTGTAGCGTGCAGTTCTCTGCTGTCGGTGTGCAGTGTGCTTACCCTGTGCCAAAGGGCCGCTGGAAGGGACGTCCAAGGCATGTTGGTTTCCTCCTGACCGCACAACCATGCCAGCCTTGCCGCTTTTCTTGTTCATCACAAGAGCTGTTCTCCACTGCCATTCGCTGCTGTTGGGTATCTGTCCTGGTGGTCTCCGTTGCTTGTTCTTTCCCACTGCCCACTGCCTGTGTGTCTCTCCACTGTCTCCCCCTCTGCGCGCTCCTTCCTTCCTTTGTCTTTTTCCTGTTCATTCTGGCATTTCTAAGATCAGAGCCTGGTTTTCACAGCCACCACTGGACCAAAGAGAGCTCTTAGCTTCATAATCTGACGTCTCTTGTGGTGTGTATGGAATGGAAAGACTTCTGATGAGATCAGCATTCCTGTAAGACTCAGAAAGGCCTTTATTTTAATTTCCTTTTTCTCTTTTGTACACTTTGGGTCTAAAACTGCCCCTTGGATTGAGGTTACCTCAGGAAGCCTGACTTGTGAGTAAGCACAGCAGCTTTTGTTGGAGTCTGTCTGTAAGAATGTATTATTTTACAATATCCGGAGGGATTCCAGTATAAATGAGGTAGACTCTTGTGCTTGGCAGTATTTTTCACTTAAAAATATTTCATATTTTTCTGTTTTAAAGAATAATAACCCAATTCTGAGTCCTAGGAAGTCAGTGCCTTTTTAAGGGGGAGAGGTACATATTTCTGGAAAGACAAAAAAATGATCACACCCTATGATATCCCTTGTCAATGAAGTTCTTAGTATTTCACAGAGATCAGTTAAATATATATTTTATCAGTGAATGCATGAGTGAATGAATGAACAAACCAACAAAGTTTTTTCCTCTTCTGGTTCTCTTTCCTTCCTCTCATTTTGTCTTTTGATCTCCTCTCTCTCTGTATCTATAATCATCATTTATTCCTAGCAGCTAAAGATGAAGCAGTATTCTTGCTTATTCTCCATATTTCATCACCATACCTCTGTCTGCTACATTAGAGTTCGTTAAATCTGGAAAATTCAGAATTCCTACCATTTATCTATATATTCATCATAAGTCCTTACGTATTTGTCCACATTTATTTTATAGATAATGGTTAGGAGGCTGTACTTAAACACTGAAGAGTAACTAGTAGCTAGATTTATAAATAGTAAGCAGTGCAGGATGTCAGTGTTTTATCAATTCCTTCATCCCCCAAAGGAGCGCTGGTGGCAGGAACAGTTAAGCGCTTGGCTGCTACACCAAAGGGTGGGAATTCAGACCCACCCGGCAGCTCCGCGGGAGAAAGACCTGACGATCTGCTCAGCCTAGGAAACCCGATGGGGCATTCTACTCTATCACGTGGGGTTGCTATGAGTCGAAATCGACTAGACGGCTCCTAACGCCAACCTTCCCCATCCTCTCCCCCCCGCAAAGGTTATTCAGAAAGTGACAGGTTACATGACGAAGTCTAAACAGTCACAACACGTGAGAGAGTAGCCAACTTCACAGCATAAGCTAATGGTTTAGGAGGTCATTTTCATCTGTGAGACTCAGAGGAGCCCGTAGAAATACCGTTTTTCCCGTAATTGTCATGTCCCACAGCGGCACTTAGATCCTAATGTTTTGTCATTGGCTTCTGATAGAGAGAAACTACCTTGCCGTAAAGATAATTTAACCCACGCATCTGGCACTCTCAAAGTCAACGTGTCTTCAACTCCCTTTTTTTTTTTTTTTAAATCTATTGAAATTGTTTGGCCAAGAAGGAGTAGAATAAAAGGATTAGAAATGTTTCTATTTTTAAAAATTGCAGTGTTTCTTACAGAAATCATGATTTTTAATCCAAACTAGATTTTCAGGCGGTCTCATAAATCTCTCTAGATCAGTGATTCTCAAACTTTAGTGTGTATCAGAGCCCCCC